TTAGGCCATATTTCGAGGGGGAGAATAGAAAGACAAGCTAAGAATGATATTCTTCCTCCATTAGAGCTCTCAGATTTAGAACAATGCAGAGAATGCATAAAAGAAAAAGTATGTAAAGAAGATAAGATGACAAAAGAAGCGCAGAAATTTTATAGATTATTCACACGTACATCCATGATCGGTTTTCTGTAAAGAGTGTGGATGGTTATGATTCGCTTCATAACATTCACGGATGATTACTCCCATTATGGCTATATTTATCCAATCAAAGAAAGAAAAGATATATTGGATAAATTTAAGATATTAAAGATTAAGATAGTCAAATCCGACTGTGGAGGAGTACTACTATTCAAGGCATACCCTAAAAGAATAGCATAGTAGCCCAAAGATTCTATACCGGGTGAACCTCAGTGAATAATAGAGTAGCTAAAAGAATCAATCGTGACTCTTATGGTGGGTAGTATGATAAGTTACTCCACCTTACAGTTGAGCCTGTGGATGGAGGCGTTAAAAACCTCATTCATATTCTCAAAAGAGTATCAAGTAAATCGGTGCCCAAAACACCGTATGAGTTGTGGATGTAAAATGTACCTCACTAAACCACTTGCGTGTGTGGGGAGCCCCACTGAGGCTAAAGTATTTAACCCAAACATTGAGAAGTTAGATCCCAAAATAGTAAGGTGCCATTTTATTGGCTACAGAGAAAAGTCAAAAAGTTTTCTTTTCCACCTTGAGAGAGAGACATACAAAGGTTATGGAAACGAGACACGCTGTTTTCCTAGAAGATGAAAAGATGAGGGGGAGCATGGTAGCTCGAGAAATTGACCTTGAAGTGAAGCGGGTGTAAGTGCCCACTCCAATGATTTATGAGCCAATTTTCTCACTACCTGCTGTAGCTGCACCGACAGTGTTAGATACTGTGGTGCAACTTTGTGTTATCCCACATGTGGCAACAATGAATGACGATAAGGAACCCGTTCTTCAGATTCTATAGAACCTATTGCCACACATGAGGGGGGCAACAACAACACCTCAAACAGAGAAGATGTGCCAAATGTGGAGGCCCCTAGTAGGTCTCAAAGAGTTAGAAAATCAGCTATTCTCGCTTGATTATGAAGTGTACAACACTAAAGAATTTCAAATGGAGGATGATCCCGCCTCGTTTGAAGAAGCCATGAGTAGTGATCAATCATTAAAGTGGCTTGAGGCCATGGAAGATGAAATGAAATCATTGAATGCCAATAAAGTTTGGGACTTGAAAATAATTCCTAAAGGAGCCAAAACAGTAGGCTGTAAATGGGTCTACAAGACAAAACTTGACTCTCAAGGAAATATAGAGAGATATAAAGCCCGACTTGTGGCAAAAGGTTTTGTGCAAAGAGAAGGGTTTGATTACAATGAGACCTTTTCTCCAGTCTCATGTAATAATTCTTTCAGAATAATAATAGCATTAGTGGCACATTACGATTGAGAATTACATCAGATGGATGTAAACACGGCATTCCTCAACGGAGACTTGGAGGAAAATGTTTACATGGCACAACTGGAAGGTTTTGTCATGGAAAGAAAAGAACGAATAGGATGCAGCCTAAAGAAATCCATTTATGGATTAGAACAAGCTTCAAGACAAGTGGTACTTGAAGTTTGATCGCATAATAAAGAATTTTGGGTTTTAAAGAGAATGTAGAGGACAATTGTGTCTAAGCAAAGTTTAAGAATGAGAAGTTTATCTTCCTTGTCCTCAGATATAGATGATATCTTACTTGCTAGTAGTGATGTCAGGTCTACTCACGGAGACAAAGAAATTTGATATGAAAGATCTTGGCGAAGCCTTGTTCGTTCTAGGGATCGAGATTCACCAAGATAGAAGAAAAAGGGTATAAGGATCTGTCACAAAAGGCATACATGGAAAAGATCTTAAAGAAATTCAAGATGCATAAATGTAGTCCCTCACCGCTCCTATAGTCAAGGGCGACAGATATAGGGATTTTAAATGCCCCAGGAACCAATATGAGCTCAATCGATAAAGTGAAAGTGGTTCCATATGCTTCAGCTGTCGGAAGCTTGCAACATGCTCAAGTATGTACACGCCCTGACTTGGCATTTGTTACCGGGTTTTACTTGGCAGATTCCAGAAGAATTCTGGAATAGAACACTGAAATTGATAAAGAAAGTCTTGCGTTATTTGCAAGGAACGAAAGACCTCATGATGACATATAGAAGATCTGATTCACTCCACATGGTGGGATATTCAGATTCTGATTATGCGAGAGTGAATGCATATCCAGACGTGGATTTTCTATCATCTCGCAAAGGGGAGCTATTTCATGGAAAAGCTCAATGCGAACCGTCAGTACATCGTCCACAATGTATGACAGTTTGTAGCGTGTTATGAGGCAACGGGCAGGTGAACTAACTAACGAAGTTCATACCCGGTTTGAAGGTGGTTGACGACACCTATAGACCACTAAAGTAATACTGCGATTATAATCTGGCAAGATGCAGATGCTCACAACATAAGTCAAGTGGTGCCGCCAAACACATTGACATAGAGTATTATGTTGTGAAAGATAAAGTCCGGGATCAAGTCATAAATCTTGAGCATATAAGAACAGAAAAGGATGCTCATGGATCCGCTTACAAAAGGCTTACCGCCCAACATGTTCAGAGGACATGGTGTTCAGAGAGAACATGTAGCTAGCTTGGGTTTAAGGGAAAGCCTAAAATATTCTGGACAAAAGAAGGCCCAAAGATAAGTATCTATTTCGAACGTAGTAGTGAGTTGTAGTCTGTTAAGTCTATCGGCAATGGACCGTGATTTATGAGACATGCTCTATGAGCTAATCTGTAATGGAATGAACAAAAGTAAATGATATGAAAGTGAAAGATGGAATGAGATCAAGGGGGAGAATGTTAGTTGATCTCCACTAATAGGCCCAACGGCCTATTGGGCCCTTATCTCGGCTCCCTCGATCGGGGAGCCCAACCCTAATCCGGTTGGTGGGCCCTGTCAGACAAAGACACATAAAAGGAAGGTGGGGATCGAGCTCAAAGAATGAGGTTCATTGGAGCCGCCACACCCACCTGCTGAAACCCTAATCCGATCCTAAAGCGCGTCTGCCAAGCGACGGGATGTGCTCGCCACCACCACTTGCCACGTGTCTGCAGGGGTCACCGCCAGGGCGCCATCGACTTCTCTCCACCGCTACTGGACTACTCCTACTACACACCATGACACTTTGGCGTCTCACGTTCAGCATGCATAAGGAGAAACGTAAAGGAGCTTACCCAATCCTACGGTTACAGAGGTACACACACATAGATTCTAACAGCTACATGTCCCTTCGCGCACTTTGTCTTCCGTATGTGCATTCATACGATTATAGTGGAAAATGCTTCTACAACTTTCTCAGCCAGAAACGATTGTATGAATTTTATCTTGCTTAAAAAAACTATTTCTTGAGTACATAAGCTGAGGAGACCATAAGGGTGCTAAATGTAGGCCAGCTACATGGTCAAAGCATGATGCTCTCATGGGGTCATACACCTGCAGATGAGCAGGTTTTTTCCTCTAATTTGCGTGCCCTTTAATTAGTGCTTGAGATCACATCCCCTTTGATGGAATTTTGTTCCACCCTTAGGAAGAGCTGAACCAATGGAGTGGTGGCTATTATGATCCATATCGTTATGCTCGGCCCCCTCAAGATCCTGCTGTGTACGCCTACACCACATATCCAGGGTATGGAAATTACTAGAAACAGCGACCACAACAGGTCCCGCCACAACAGGTAACCATGTTGCTCAAGGCCCTAGCACGACAGTTGATTAGTCGTGCAACTGTGTTGCACTAAGATGGCTTGTTTCTCTCTTTGCGGTAAAAATAATGGTGACACGAGCAGAATTATTTGCAAAGCGGTCGCACTGTACTTGGGACAGCAACTTTAATGCATTGGCATGAGAAATTCTCATTACCTTTTGAACTGCTATATGTCTGTAACCTTTGCCACCGCTATAATTCTCTTAACTGCTGTGCAGTCCATAGATAAAACATATATCCTCGATCTATATTTACCTTTGCAGTCCATATATTCTTACTTGCTGTGAGAACAATTACAGCAGGACATGTAATGTATACCTATGTACTGCTTCATCTTTACCTACATATATGTCTCCATGTATATATTTTCCTACTACTATTAATTAATTTCTCATATTGTTTTCATGTGTATTGTATAAGACCCCTACCTGTACAGATCTAAAAATGGTCACTTGCGCGCGCAGGGGCGCGCGGTTTGTACTATATATATATAGACATGGCTCTTTTTTTCTCAGGACAATATAGAGCTCATGACAGACATGGGAATCGATGCCCATCGGTTTTTGATAGCCTGGTTGAGGATCTTCAGAGTATGTCATTTACTCATTTGTATGCAGCAGCAATTGCATGTGGCTTCCTTCAGTCCAAGAATAAAGCATTTATGGCATTGTCCATCCAAATCTGAACTGGTAAATGATTGTTTTATAGGTGGTGTTTGGGTGTTTTGCCATCACCATTATCATTCCTGGGTTCAATGCTTGGATGGCCGATATAAAGAGACGGAGTGAGTAGATTCCAAATATCAAATTCGTGTTCAACATTTTTAAAATTTAAATTCTAATTTGGAGCTTTAAGATTTCAAATGCTGAATATTTCAATGGTCAAAATTCAAGTGTTTAAATGTGAGGGTCAATTTTTTAAAATTTAAATTCTGGTTTTATTTAAATTATTTTAAAATATATAGTTCAGATTTAAATTTCATTTTTAAATTTTGTCACTGAATTGAATTGCTTAATAACCCGGAAAAGGTTCTAACGTGCACACTGCAGCTCGGGGTGCTCCATCCTACACAAGTACACATAGACCTGGGCACGACACAATGTACATGATTTGAGATGGCCGCTTGGCCAGGCCCTGAAGAAGAAATGGCAATGCGAAACAGAGCAAGCCATATATCCAGCCTTCAGCTAGAGCCCAGCAAGTTCTTGAACCACTGCACCGAGCTCTTGGGGTATCTCTTGAGGCTGTCCTTGTAGTCCACGAAGTAGAGCCCGAATCTGGAGGAGTAGCCAGCCGTCCACTCCCAGTTGTCCAGCAGTGACCACGCGAAGTAGCCACGCACGTCGCACCCGTCCTCCCTGCAGATATTCCTTGTTATGATTATGAATGCCAAACAACTAAACAAGTCAACGAAAAGCCCGTGATCAGTTCTTTGAGTACTTTATGGAGGCAGCCAGGCTGGTGAGGTAGTCGTGGTGGTACTTGACCCTCTTGCTGTCCTTGAGGGCGTCCTTGATGGAAGTGAAAGGGCTGCTGCCGTCGTCCATCCCTGCATCAGAATTCGGCAGCGCAATTTCAGAGCACCCATATGGTGTAATCCAGCAAAGCTAATATAATACAGGTTTCACAGCACATGGCCTTACCATTTTCAGTGATGTAAACCGGTGGGCTGTTGTACCTTTCCTTGACGTAGTTCATCAGGCTCCTCATCCCGCTGGGCACGATGTACAGCCATATCGAATTGGCCTGCGCAACGTCGTAACAGTTTTTTTTTCACATAAAATGTCTACACCATATTGCCCTTCTATGCGCAAGGAGGATGTGGTGTCGAACTCACCCTGTCACCAATGGCTTTCCCATTCCTGAATGCTGAAAAATTGCAGAAACCGTCAGCAGAGGGTTCTTAGGTTTCATGCATGTCAGGTACAAGTGTACAACTGTACAAGGTCAGGCGAAGAAGATGGCAACTCACGAAGGCTGATGGTCCCGGTGTCTGCCAAGGTGTTATGCAGGAGACGCCCCACGAGGTTGGTGCTGTTGTGCTTGGTGTAGTAAGTGGTGTAGTGGTTTATGCCAACGAAGTCAAGCGCCCCCTTGACGAGGGCAGACTCATCTGCTGTGAACTTGGGGAGCCTGTCCCCGACCCGTGATCTCATCGATGCAGGGTAATCGCCAAAGAAGAAAGGATCCGCGAACCTTCATTATATTTAATTTTACCAACTCAACCATCAATCAATCATCCATGTATAGTTTCAGAACAGAAACTTGTGTCAATTGGAGTTGATAGGCTCACCATCCTAGCTGAAACTCCTGCCCTCTCTTGGCAGCTTCGATGTCGGCAGTAGTATTCGTCATCGGTTCGAACCACATGACGTCAAATGCTATCCCAAGTTCTCCGTTCTGAGTTGCCTACAATTTGATGGAACCATGGAAGAAAGATCAACAACCCAGGAACCTTGTCTTTTAGACAAATCAAAGTGGAACTGTGTAACATTTTTATTGCATGTGTAGAAAAGATGTCCGATCACCTTGTAATTCCTTCTGTAGATGTCTGAAACCGTCGCATGAGCCAGGATGAAGTTGTGGGCGACAATGTAGGGCTCGGTGCCTGAATTCCCTGACTTGCAGTACAGATGGAGCAGCAAAGAACAGCGCCCCGGTGCCTGAAGCCCGGCATCGTAGCCCTGAATGGCAACTGTGTGCGGCTCGTTGAGCGTGATCCAGTGCTTCACACGGTCTCCGAAAGCCTTGAAGCATGTCTCGGCGTATTCGGCGAAATCATTGCTGCATGTTGGGCATGGAAAATGGTTACTAATAATTATGTTAAGAGTGATCAATTAAGGAGGTGAGGTCATAAAAGTTGAAGGGGCTCACACTATCTGCCTGTCCAGCCATCCGTTGTACCTGTCTTCCAAGGCCTGGGGGAGGTCCCAGTGGTACAGGGTTACATATGGCTCAATCCCTGAAATATTTCACATGTCACTAGACTATGTCAGCAGTTCAAGCCATTTATTTGATTCAGTACTACTGCACTACAGTAACAGTATTTTTTTTTTCCGTTTACCTTTCGATAGCAGTGCATCGATAAATCTGTTGTAATGGTCGATGCCGGCCTGATTGACTTGGCCAGTACCATCTGAACAAACGAGAACAATTGAAGGATGACTCTGAAATCATCGGCAGCGTCGCTATTTCTTTCGGTTCCTAAAAACTTACTTGGCAAAATCCTCGACCAGGCAATTGAAAACCGATACGCGTCCATCCCCATGTCTGCCATGAGCTGTATATCCTCCTGGCAGAGTGACAGTAGCCATTTGAACACGTCGGATATATAGATCGATTTTGTAACAGGGCATTAAGGTCATCAGGACTGCAACATTAGGCAATAGAGCGCAGTACTCACCTCGAAACGGTGGTAGTGATCTACTGCGACATCAGCATTACTGAAGTCGGCAACCTTCCCTGCACAATAGAGGAGGAAAATGGAAAAAATTAAAAGCAAAACTTTTGGTTGTGGCTCTGATCAACTTGCTGCAGCCTCTACCATCAGTAGTCCCAGATCACTAGATCAGTCAGTACTCCAGTGTCTGAAGTTTGAACAAATGCTAATATAAAAGCCACACGTGGAATCCAATGACGACAGTAATTATTGATTGATTGTGATAAACTGTTTTAGCACAGATGAGTGACCAAACCAAAATGCAAAAGCAAATGCGTCTTATCTGTTCCTCCCGATCACTGGCGTGCATATGCTCATTGCAAATGGCTGGTGAGATATAAGCACGACTGCACGAAGGATATGAGTGCACAACCATGGTCTTGTTCTGCTCCACTATATGCCCAACTTTAGGAAAATAAAACGCATGATTGATGCATCAGCATATATCAGATATGTAGTGGCATGGTCAGAGGGAGCTACTGTCCTAATCTGCTAGAAGACACGCAGCTTAAAAGTGTTATGGGCCAGAGTAATGGTTATCTTGGCCTGTCAGGCTGTCATATATATGTCTGTAACATGTACTACCGTAACTGACTGTGTAAGCCCAAAATGGGAAATTCTGGAGTGCTGACAACGGAGTCATGCATCCTTATTATTGCTGGATTGATATGATACGATGCTACACGCATGAAAGCCGGCCTGTTTGAGCAGGTAGAGATGCATATGCATGAGAGAATCCAACCAAGCAGGTTCATACCAAACGTGTGCGCGAACTTGTCCCAGATGGTTTTCCCTCTCCCGTCCTCCTTCACCGCTCCCTCGTACTACAAAACAGAATCAAGAAACAAGTGTGTCAGGCTGCTTTCAGCAGGCAGCAAAAACACAACTCAAATGTCAAATCGAAAAGATCACTAGTTGCTGTATATGGGAGAGCAGAGGATACGATAGATCATACGGTAACTGCTGGCTGGCTAATCCAGAGTCCAGCGATGTGGCGGGCAGCGGCAGGGCGGCGCGAAGCTCATCATGCCGTCGTACGTCGCGACTCGCGACGGACATGCGTTCGTTAACGGGGACGCGGCGGGATCGGGTTGATGCCATGCGAGGCTGGCCGGCCCCTAGCCTGGCGCCTGGCGACCTGCGCAAGCGGACGCTGACGCTGGCGGCTTCGGCCGTGACCGCCGAATTTTCTTTCCACAACGGAACACGAATAGACAGGTGGGTTTCGGAGAAAAGGAGGACGGCCCCAGCCCCACTGGATTGGGCTGGTTGGGTGCTCGATCTGGTGGGTGCATGCCCGCTTCATCCAGATGCCCAATCTAACCTGGCTATGTATTCTTGTGTTGTGCTGTATTATTGATGTATGGTAGTTACTGTACCTGAACTTTTTTTCGGTAAAAAAAAAGATAACAGTACATCAACACAGCATATGCATGTATCTTGGTCACGCACACGCTATTGAAATTGCCATGGTGCTAGATGAGCCTCATGTAGTCATGTTATTATTACTCACGTAGCTAGACTGTGTTTCAGCTCTCGGTTGAGTCGAGGGTTCGGGTCTCTTTGAAATGCTGGTCCGTTTACAAACCTCGAGAGGCAAAGTAAACAAACAAAAAAGAAAAAAAAACACAGGAGAAAGAAACAAAGGGATAATATTTCCAGTCGCCAACAACACCTAGATCGATAGCTAGAAGCATAGATTAGATATGCTCCGTAGTACAGTTACGAGGAAGATGAGCACGACTGAGATAGTCGTCGAAGAATTGAAGTCGCAAACCTGGTAAGCGGAGGAGGCTGTGCCGAAGACGAATCCCTTTGGGAAGCTCCCCCGCGTGAGCCCTCCTCCGTCCCCGCCCTGCGCAATGCATCCTTGCAGCGACACGCCGAGGATGAAGAGCAGCGGCGGCAGCAGCAACCTCGTCAGTTCCATGGCGGCGTATGAATCGCCTACTCTCCCTCTCTCTCTCTCACACACACACACACATAAGATGGATAGAGAAACAGAGATTGGTACACAAGGAAAGAATCGCCCAGTGGAGGGAGTTCTGTGTAGTGTCCTGTGCCAAGCTGCCAATTGTACGTATTTATAGTATAGCTAGTGTGATGGATTATGGGTCAATGCACTAGCCACGCCATTTCCACTGGTAATCTGGCAGTCAGCACAGTGATCTCTTGCTTTAAGGGATGAAACTAGTGCGCTGCTACCTCAACGAGTTATTGAGATTTGTTGGGCGAAGGGAGAAGGACAAAAAGTGTGAAAGGCAATCAGTTGCCTGCTGCCAAACGTAGGAACCTTCTTTGAGTCCTATGATTGATCAAATGCGAGATGCATGGGGTACTACTAGATTATTGTTATCAATCAAGGAATATGGTTTATTTCTAATAATGACAGCTGTTCCACATGCACAAAGGATGCACACGGCAGATGTGAAAGCAATATATATAATACTGAAATAAAACCTGAAAACTATAACCTTCATCATTTTTGTACGGGGTATAATTTGACCCTACAAATTCAAGTTTTGACCAGCAATTGCTGCATGACAGAAAAAATGATACTACATTGATTTATATGAGTAGTATGGCTCTGTAACTATATTCATGAATGAAATATTTGTGAACATAAGGGCCAAGATTCGGTTTTGCGGAGTCAAACTACACGGGATGGGAATCAAATGGAGAGCAGAAATGCTAGTGCCAGGGTGTCCGATCGTCTGGACGTTCCGTTCGCGGGCCGCGACACTAGCCCAACGGCCTAACAATCGTATCCTCTCGTCCACTCTCCTCTAACCATAGCATGTTGTCTCCATTCTTTAGAAGGCTCCCCACCGCAGCGTCGCAACTGTGCTCCACCACGACCGCGCTCTGCCTTGACATTTTCCACGGCGTCCTTGGGCCCGTTGGCCGGCATCTCCACCGCGCCCAAGCATGACCGCCCACCTTCTTGTATCTCCATCTCGTGCCTCCTGCCCACCACGGCCTTCTCCAGTGCGCGGACCGCCTTCTCCACCGGGGCGGCGAGCTCTACACCGGTGAACTCCACATGCCGACGAGCCTCCATTCTCCCAAGCAGCAACGAGATGTTGCGCTGAAAGCGCATGTTGCAAAAGTATGTTTCAAGTGTTTCAGATATTTCAGAGGTATGTTGCAAGTCTTTCATACGGATGTTGCAAAAGTAGATCGGGATGTTGCACCTACATGTTGCAATGGCTATACACGTATGTTGCAAGAGTTTGTTCAAAATGTTTATTTTCCGACAAAAATTGCAATTGTGTTTATCTGGATGTTGCATATGTTTTCACATATGTTGCAAGTGTCTCATCTAGATGTTGCATATGCTTACAATGGCTTTCAAGTGTTTTCAATTGTTTTTAAGTGTTTTTAGACGTATGTTGCAAGTGTTTCAGCTGCTTCGAACGTATGTTGTAAATATTCATCTGGATGTTGTAAAAGTAGATCGGGTGTTATGCATGTTGCAATATGCGTGAAAAAGTGGAGAGGGCGCGAGCGATCCCCGCGTGCGGTTTGACGGCACGGGTAGGGATGTGCTGGCGTGGGAGCGGACGTGGACTGCAGGCGCGGAGACGTCTAGGTGCTAACAATACCGAATAAGAGAGCCTGTGGATCTGTACAAGCACGAGTGTACAATGGACAAATTCCATTTAAATGCCTGATAAGATGCTGTGAAGATTTGCATAATGATGAAGGATGACCATTGACCAGCGTAATGTACTCACCGCGTAAGCCTAACGATAAATAAACAGTAAGAACCGGCAGACGGCAGCATGCAGGAGGCGGCCCGAACGCAGGCCGGGACCGCGGGAGACTGACTATCCCTAGGGAACGGCGCCGGCGATCACTCCAGGGGACAGGGCTGAACCCGTCTTTGCGGCATTCCGACTTGCAGCTCGCCCGTCGGCGTTCTTTGGGCAGCGCGCCCGAATTTTTTACAATTTGGCCCATTTTTTGAAAGTTTCTCACAAATAGACCCCTGGTGGAATGAATTCTGGAAATGGACCCTTAGCTCGGCGCTATTGACGCTGGCGCCGAGCTAGGAGCCAGCGTCTCTGGCGCCGAGGTCCTGGGCACGGTCGCTGCCCTGCCAGGGGGCTCGGTGCCAGAGTGACTGGCGCCGAGCTCGGCGCCAATCACTCTGGCACCGAGCTCGGAAATATCAGTCGGGCCCGCGTCTTTCCTTTCTTCTTCTCCCTATCTCGCCCTAGCCGAGCACTGCCGCCACCGCCGCCCTTGCCCGCGCCACCGCCGCGCCCGCGCCCGAGCCCGCGCCCCCACCACGGCAGCATGCCCGCGCCCGAGCCCGCGCCCGAGCCCCTGCTCCCGCGCCCGCTCCCGTGCCCGCCACCGTGCACTGCGCACGCCGAGGCCGCTCCCCCACCCGGCCACACTGCGCCCCCTCGCCGTGCAGCAGCTTCTTTGCTGTTGGTTGGCCGCCGCGCCGCGCCTCGCCGCCTCCACCACGGTCCTCGCCTTGCCCTCCACCGTCGGCCTTGGCCGCGGCCCGGCTTGCCGCCCTCCACCGTCGGCCTCGCCCCACCTTGCCGTCGTCCACCGCCGGGCTCGCCCCACCTTGCCGCCGTCCACCGCTGGCCTCGCCCCGCCTTGCCGCCGTCCACCGCCGGCGTGCCTCCCGCGCCCGTCGAGCCGGCGTGCCCCGAGCATCCTGCGCCCGCCACGCGCCACCGTTGTCGTTGGCCGCGCCACCGTCGGCCCGGACCTTCGGCCTGACCCACGCCCATCCTCCGTCGGCCCGGAAAGGTAAAAATTATGAATATGCAATGTACCTACTTAGTTGCCATCTGTTATTTATTAGTTAATGTGATGACTCAGGTAGTTGATTTAGTTAGTGATCTAGTGAGATATATATGTAGATAGATAGAAACATAGACACATAGGCATATAAATATAGTTAGATAGGTACTTAGATATGTAGTTATATTTTTAGTTATGTACATATGATCTAACTATTTAGTGAGTACACTGTAAATATATACGTAGTTATTATCTTGATTACTTAGTTTGTAGTTAGAAAGTACTTGTTAGGTACTATCTATCGTCTAATTTGGACTAAATGACATGTGTTTCGTTACGTGTTTGAATTAGATGGACAATCTAGTGACCATATATCATGGAGGCACCGTTGAAAGCGATCGCTATGGATATGTTGAGTTTCTTGACATGCAAAAGCGTACCAGCGTGCGACACGTTGCAGGCTGAGGTCACAGTGGACCGAAGCTGACTACGCCGACATCGAGTCCTCCGACGATGAAGACACGGCGTATGACCAGTCGACTCGTGCAGGAAGGCAGATGGAGGCAGGACCGATCTTGGACAGAGTGGTAAGCCAATTGCATTATTTATGTACGTTACGTTGCATAAGAATACATTAGGCGTTCTTGGACCGACATTACGAGTTATCTACTTTAGTTAGTGCCACATTCGAGCCGTATCACCCTTATAATACGTTAGATTGTTATAAAAAATCAAACCTATTGCTATCTGTTCAGAAGTATTATTACTGAGAACTTTGTTGCAGGGCAATACACTCAAATGCTCAGTTGAAGAGATTGAGCGCATTCGGCCGAGAGTCAGTGACGACTACATACTTGGCTTCCTAGACGTAAGATTTAAAATATTCTTCCAAATATATCATTAATACGGTAGATTCTTTTAGTTAACATAGTTTTGTACAACAGAGGCTGTCACGTCGTCTATGCCGTGCGGCTAGGCGTTGTGGTTGCAGGACAGACACGACGCAAGACGTGCACGTTCCTTCCGCAGCCAGAGGAGGCTTGGGTTCCTCTAGCCAAGCAGCTACAGGGGACGAGAACAACGGACAGAACGACAACAACAATGGTGCCGATTCACAGGAGGAACTCTGCAATGATCCATATTGCATCTGCCCTAACCACAAGAATAAGGGGCCTCCCCCGTCACCCCCGCCGCCACCACCACCACCAACGGGAGGTTACTATGGAGAAGGTGCAACACAATTTGTTATGTGGCCACACTATTAGAATGACTTTATCTTTTTCACATGTACCCAAATTTAATTACCTAAGACATGTTAGGTTTAATTACCTAAGGCATGGTTTTAATTAACTAAGGCATGTTAGGTTTAGTCGAAGAAAACTCTGTACCCAGGTTCGGTACATGTAGTCACATCTCACATGCCATTTAATGTGTTTCGTGTGTTGATTTATATAATGGCGTACGACGTTAGGTTTTTTTGCAGCACGTGTTCACATTTCAATACGTACGTATCATTAAGCCGAATATTAAGACCATAGATAATGAAACAACCACATAATGAAAAGTTCAATACTATGCCACATTACACAACATATTAATACTACAACTACGTGCTGACAGTAGACATAGGGGCAAATGCACTTCCAAATCCTTAGTTTGAAACGTACTGAGTAAGCGACTCATCATCTGAGTACCAGTCCTCTACTACAACCCTGTTGTTGTGGCTAGGCTCAAATGTGTTGCTCTGACCTGCCTGTCGCTTGTAGTAAGCGGCCTCCGCTTCATCTGCGGCCGCAGCGGCCTGAGTGAAGAACGCGTCGTCATCCTCCTCCGCCTGTAAGCCCGCCTCTGCTAGAGCTATGAGCTCGCGCAGTCTGCCAGTGTCGTCCTCAACCTCCTGTGCCTGCATGCCCGCCTCTGCTAGAGCGATTGAAAGGTCCTTGTTGGTTTTGGTAATTGAGTGACAACCTAGGTGAACTAATTGTGTTTATGTGAGATACACAGGTGATTAGTCCACAGGTACATGTGTATGAGCAACATATGCCATGGAGGTGAAAATGGCTTGGAGATGTTGCAAAGCTCACACATGTGATGATGAAGGAGCTTATTGCACATGAGACATGACATTGAGTCATGTGATCAAGGTGGAGAAGATCAAGA